TCCACCTCACCCTTTCACCGCCACCACCCACCATCCCCCACCCCGTCTTGTTTGCCTAGATTATATATAAGCTCTTTGAATAATATTTTCTAGGAAAACATTTTCTGTAATAAACACACCATTAGGCTCTCTTGACATTTTTCGAGATGAACATACTACAATTACTGCAAAACATATAGGGGAGAAAAATGATCTATTAAAAGGCTTCTCTTTGATAGTGTAAAAACTGAACATGATTCACTAAATTCATTACCAAAAACAAATTAAAGCAATAAAAAACACTCTTTAGAGTTAACTGTTTGCATACCTCTGAATATATCCTGCGGTAAAAAGATGATGACTTGGCCAGTTCTCGGCATCTATTTTGGTCTACATACTCCTAAAATACACTCGTACGTTTAGTATGCAATCATTTAATCAATTGGGGATATTAAAAAAAGTTCTTACCTACCATTGTACTAGTATATACTTGCACAAATCTAAACTGGAATTTCAATGTAAATTACCAACGCCACCCGCCTTTAGAACTTCTTCAAGAAAAAAAAATTGGGATTTAAATAATCTGCCGAATGTCAATTAAGAAAATGAAGACGAAATACCGCGAGGGGAAATGCACAAATAGCATTCGGATACCCATTTAAAGAATAGCCAATTACAAATTCTTTAAAATTTAGCCTCCTCAGAATTAATTTCAGATCTGAATTTGAAATCGTGAGTTTGAAGAACATTGTAATTCTTTTTTGTTTCTCTTCGAAATTTTTAGTATTACATCAAGTATTTGAAGCAAGGAAAAGTTGTTTTGGCATCAATTTATTAACCTCTTGAATCAGGTTTTGTTATTCTAACTTTCTAAATATTCTTTTTCATCAAAAAATTTTAATTTTTGATGTTTTTATTAATAGGTATATTGCTTTTTAAAATTATTTATCTATTAGAGTTTAAATGTGTCAACTAGTTGGAGACTAAGTCATTTTTTTACTTCAAAACGGATCTGAACAATTGAAAGTGTATGAAAATATTTTTGGTGTTTTCTTTAGTGGTAAAAATTGAGGTCATTACATGGTGAGAATCTAACAAAAATTATAATTCCTTAAAGTATAATAATCATTATGATATTGATAGTTTAACTTATTTTTTAAATGAAAAATATTAAGGAAAATAAGTTTTTAAAAATTCAAATCGATCTTAACTAAAATGATCAACAATGTCTCACGAAAAATTAAATTCATTAGCTACATTATCAAGTGAAAAACTAATTATTAGAATAGATCAATTATGAAAGAAGTAATAAAGTTGCATCTCAATATTCTAGAAAAAGGACTTAATAAATATATATATATNCTAATGGCTCTTCCTAAAGCCACACATATAGCGTTGAGCCGCCCCTGCCCGAAAGCCCGAAGAAGATATAGCAAAAGTAGCAATATGAGTTGTCCGAAGTTTGTCAAAACTGCATTTAGCTTTTACTAATTTTAAAATTTTGAATATGTTTTAAATAGTGGTGCTCAAAGCGGCTAACTGATGTCATTTCTTCAACTAAAGAACCTAGTTACGTATATGAGTATTTACACAAATAACCGATCAAATTTACTATTTATTATATATGAATTATACATATATTATAAATTTGATGGCTTGTTTAGTTTAAGCGGTTGAGTGAACGGTTATTTAGGTTAATTCTTCTTACATATATTCGAATGAGATCTTTAAAAAAAATAGCTCGGTTGAATTTACTGCTTAATATTTTTAGCCAGTATACATGGATTATAAATTAATTATACATGATTATACATATCTTATATATCTGTCGGCTATTTTTAATTTAAGCGGTTACTTAGATCGTTATTTATGTTAATTCTTCTATTCCAATTTGGCCCATAGTCAAGCCCAATACAAACCTAGAGCCGAAATGCTCAACGTGTGGGGAAAAAAAACTTTTTAAAAATCCTCACATCCCTTCTTTATAAATGTATCTACCAAGCAAGGCTCGTTTTCAAGAATTAGGAAGCAGCATAGACCCAAAGCGGTGACTGCATTAGTAGGCTATTTTCTCGCTAATGCAACGGCTTCTTGCAGCTCTTGTGCCTTTTTTGCTTCTCGCTTTAGAAAGATTACTGGTTAGCTAGGCCGTTTGCTTGCGCTAACTAGGCGCTCACCTTTTTTGGTTGAGCGTATATCGCCCGTCTTGCTGATAATGGATTGATTCTTGAAGCTTGCTTGGTTTAGGCAGGTAACTGTTACGAGGCTCTTTATACTTGCATTGCTTAATCTTAGTACGTGCAACAAATTCAAATTAATTAGATCAGTGGACTTTGATATCAGACGATTTAAATCGAAAATATAGTTCCCCTCCTACACCTTCAAATTAATGATCAGTAGCATGAGTTCCTCAAACCATCGAGTCATGATCGTACCTCCGCTATTTATGCTGATACTTGTAACAATTCTGCTCATTCTAGCCAGTGTCAAGTTTGTTGTGGTTGATGGTGATGGAACTACA